GTGTTTATGAACGTTTCACATGTCTCTGATTTGCTGCAAAAACGTTTCTCTCCTAAAGATTGTTTTTTTGCAATCAGTTTCACTCCGTTTCTATAATTTATATTTGTCTTCATAGTTTCTCATCTCATATATTTGTCAGTATCAGATTTATTTAATTTCTTCCATTTCGTATATCATCTTTGTATTTTCTTCTTTCGTAGATTCACCGGACGTGCATATCACTTCCCCTCTGCACCCCACCCCTCCCGTCTTGTCCCTTCCCCATCCTATCCCTCCCCCTCCCCTCCCCTCCCCCTCCCCCTTCCCTCCCTCCCTTTCCTCCTCCCTCCTGCACCCCTCCCCACAACATTTCACCTTATAGCAAGAAGAGCTTAATTTTTCTATAACCAAATCCAAAAAAGATCCAAGACAAAGAAGAAAAAGTCCCTATGTCTTGTCTTCATCACCCCAAACTGTCTTCCTCACAACATTACTCAAGCTGTCTTCCTCCCAACACAGCTGACTCTTGTAAACAAACCCTATTGTTACCTTGGTTATGGACCGCTCCAGGTAAACAAGGGGGTGTGTATGGTGCCTTTTATCTCGTTGTTGACACTGGGTTAACTAGGTGCTGGTATAGTTGTTAAGTGTTGGTTGTAAATATGTTCCTGTATTGTTGGAAATTGTTGTGTTGTGTTTTTGTGTTGCATTATGGGACGGTAAACTGGGATAAGTGATGAGGAGGAAGGGAAGAGGATGGGAGGAGGGAAGAAATGAGGAAGGGTGGAGAAGGAAGGAGGAAAATTTCATAACCAACACAAATTAATAAGAAACCCCATGGAGAGGGGAGGTGAAGGAAGAAAGGAGGAGGAGGAGGAAGAAATATGGAGAGAGAGAGAGAGAGAGAGAGAGAGAGAGAGAGAGAGAGAGAGAGAGAGAGAGAGAGAGAGAGAGAGAGAGAGAGAGAGAGAGAGAGAGAGAGAGAGAGAGAGAGAGAGAGAGAGAGAGAGAGAGAGAGAGAGAGAGAGAGATTATCAAAGACTACCAAAAGGGAAGAGGGGAAAAAAAGAAAAGGTAGGAAGTGGAAGAGAGGAGAGGAGGGAGGGAGAGAAGAGGAGGAGGAGGAAGGGCCAAGCAGGTGTAAAGTAAACAAAATCATTGTCAACAAATGACCTCCACTATTTGTTTCTGCCTCGCGGTAAACGTGTGAGGAAAAGGAAGAGAAAGAAGGAGAGAAGGGACAGTGAAAGGGAAGGAAAAGGATAAGGGACTGAGAAGTAAGGGAGAAAGGGGGCAGAGGAAGGTGGGGACTGAGAAAGGGTCGCAGGGGTGAAATGGGAGAGCAGGAATATATAAAAAAAAATGGACAGACTTGGTGAGAAATGAGAAGGGGAAAAAATAAAACAAGGCGAGGAGGAACGAATGACGACACCGCATAATAAAGAAGAAAGAAGAGGAGGGAGAGGAGGAAAAGAAGTCAGGAAAGTGAGTTATAGGAAGAAAATTGGATGATAAAGTATAATATCACGAGGGAGAGGAATGAGGCCAGGGGAGAGAGTAAACGTTTATGTGGCTCTCTCTCTCTCTCTCTCTCTCTCTCTAGCGTTTTCTTCCCTCCTTCCGTTTTCTCTGATGTTCTTGGGAAGAGGAGTGGGGATGATAGATACAGGGGGTAGATAGATTTCTGGTTCATGGTAAAATACAGTACTCGCTTCATAAAATACAGTACTCGTTTCATAAAATACAGTACCCCGCTTCATAAAATACAGTACTCGCTTCATAAATATACCGCCCATAGAATACAGTACTCGCTTCATAAAATACAGTACTCGCTCATAAAATACAGTACCCACTTCATAAATTCTAAGTACCCGCTTCATAAAATACAGTACCCACTTCATAAAATACAGTACTCCTTCTAAAATACAGTACTCGCTCCATAAAATACAGTACCCCGCTTCGCAAATACATTGCTTCATAAAATACAGTACTCGCTTCATAAAATACAGTACTCGCTTCATAAAATACAGTACTCGTTTCATAAAATACAGTACTCGCTTCTAAAATACAGTACTCTTCATAAAATACAGTACCCCGCTTCAAAAATACAGTCTGCTTCATAAATACAGTACTCTTCATAAAATACAGTACTCCTTCAAAAATACAGTACTCGTTTCATAAATACAAGTACCCCACTTCATAAAAATACAGTACTCGCTTCTCAAATACAGTACTCGCTTCATAAAATACAGTACGCATCATAAATAAGTACTCGCTTCATAAATACAGTACTCGCTTCATAAAATACAGTACTCGCTTCCAAAAATACAGTACTCGCTTCATAAATACAGTACCCGCTTCATAAAAATACAATACCCTTCATAAAATACAGTACCCCCTTCATAAAATACAGTTTCCTTCATAAAATACAGTACCCCGCTTCATAAAATACAGTACCCCACTTCATAAAATACAGTACCCCGCTTCATAAAATACAGTACCCCGCTTCATAAAATACAGTACCCCGCTTCATAAAATACAGTACTCACTTCATAAAATACAGTACTCGCTTCATAAAATACAGCACTCGCTTCATAAAATACAGTATTCGCTTCATAAAATACAGTACTCGTTTCATAAAATACAGTACCCCACTTCATAAAATACAGTACTCGCTTCATAAAATACAGTACCCCGCTTTATAAACAAACACTGCAACTTGAGGGTAAGAGAGGATAATGAAACACGTCATGAAAGAAAGTGGCTCTTTTAAAAACTTGGGTCGAGTTATTTTCCGTGTCACGTAAAGTTAATGACACTAAAACGAGGTCTTGAATCCACACAACAACAATACCTCGTCTCTGGTTTATGGAGGCTGTGTTAACATGGCGGTGGGTGTAAACGTTTCCTTTTACGGTACGTGTTGGGACCACCACAGCCGGCTTGTTGGGGTAGGTAGCCCTTCCACCTCCTCGTCTGCTTCTACGCCAATTCTATGCCACTCAATACCCTCCAACACTACCCACGCTGCTCCCTTCAACACCACCTCCGCCCACACACCTCCACCCACACACCTCCACCCACACACCTCTACGTCCTTGTCCTCCCTACGCCTCCCATTTGTCCCCCATATCCCTCCACTCTTCCCTCGCTCCCTCCCTTCCCTCGCTCCCTCCCTTCCTCTCTTCTCACCCCCTTCACCTAATTTTCCCCGTCACCCTCCCCTCTCATCCACGTCCCTAATCCCTTCCCTCTCTCTCTCTCCCTCTCACCCCTCACTCTCATGCCCTCACATGTCCCTCACTCTTCCCCTCACCCTCTTCTCTCCCCGTCCAACTTCTACCCCCTCGCCCTCTCTCTCCTCCTCTCCTCTCTCCCACCTCATATTCTCTCCCCCCTCATCCTCTTTTCTTCTCCTCACCCTCTTCTCTCCTCCTCACCCTCTTCTCTCCTCCTCACCCTCTTCTCTCCCCCTCCCTCCTCTCCTCCCCCTCAGGTCTGGAGATGACAGGGAGGTGGGCCACAGCATCACCTCCTGACACCCCCACCATGACTAACGACCTCAGGGAAGAAATCCTTTTTTTACTCCTTAATCTGTACAAGGTGATACTTGAGGCGCCCCGAGTTCCAAGGATTAGGTGAGGCTGGGTTGGGTTGCAGGGTTGTGATGCGTTAGATTGAGTTGAGTTGGGTTAGATTGGATTGGTTGGGTTAAGTTGGGTTGAGCTAGATTGGGTTTGATTGGGTTACATTAAAATTAAGGATAAGTTAATTAGGTTAGATTAGATTAGGTTAACATAAGGTTAGGTTAGCTAGATAGACATTTAAACTCCACTGATTAAGTACGAATGCTTTAAAGGCCGATAAATATTCTCTTTATCGTATAAATTATTGATGAAAAAACATCAACAACACAGGAGACGTTACACGAACCATATTAGACTTGAGAAGGTTTTTAAATAACTTCTCTAACACAACTAAAATTTCCTAATGAAGACTTTGAGTTATAACGTGTAATAAAAATAAAAAATCAATTGCGGAACGAACCAAGTCGACGTTCCAATATTTATCCCGGGAAACGTGTCACTCATATTTGGAGGGAAAAGTTTACCCTGGAGATTTAGCGACACAGTTCCATTAGAAGACTCAGTTGGGTATAGTATTCTCACACACACATAGCAAGTTTACCTCCTCCTCCCTCAACCCCGGAAATTTGACAAAGGTGCATGGAAGGGAGTGGATGAAAAAGAGGTTAGGTTGATGGGGTGGTAGACATAGCTTGGCGGGGCGGGGGAAATTTTTACCTAAAGGGTTTGAGTGTTAAGTTGACATGGGGAATTTGGGCGGGAAAAGACGAAACTTTAACTTGACAGGTAACGATGATGTATGTTTGGCGGGAAAAGTTGAAATAGCAAGCTTGACGGGAAAAATTGACCAAATAATTTCGGCGGAAAAAGGCGACATGACAAGTTCTCGCAGGAAAATGTTGACATACTAACTTTGGCGAGTAACTTTAGGGAAATATTACTTGTAAGGAATAAAGAGAGACCCCCCCCCTCCCCAGGAACGTGACGAGATGGTAATATTCCAAATTATTCCTAAATCTAAATATTTCCATAATTATTCCTAATCCAAATATTTCCCTGATGAATCCTAATTCCTCAAAACTTAGCAGACCCAAATCATTACCAAATATGATATTCACTCAGCCCCCCCCCCGTAAAACCTCAATTGTAATATAGCCAGATAAAACGTAACATTGAGGCGTGTCAGAAAAAAATTAAAAAGTAAATTAAAAAGTAAAATAATAAATAAATGAATAAAATAAAATAAAAGATAAATATTCATGCTTCTATATTAAAAAAAATAGTGTGGGGATAGAGTCTGACAAATTTTGATCGAAGAGACCAGCTGAGTGACCTGACGAAGATGGATAGTTGAAGGTGTGAGGGAGAAGCTGGCAGCTGGCTCTCTCCTGTTAACCTTGACTGACAGCTGGTGGGGCGTGGTGGCTGCTGGGCTCACACCCTATATAGACTTACAGCTGGGTGTGTGGTGGCAGGTCTCATCTTTAAACTGACAGCTGATAGTGTAAAATAATATCGTGCAGTGAGAAGTTCGCTGAGGCAAAAACTTGGGTACAGTGGCTGGCTTTCCTTGGCTCTCGTGGCATGTATATGGAAGGTTTTGGTTCTTGATTCGCGGGTATGGAAGGTTTTGGTTCTGGATTCGTGGATATGGAAGGTTTTGGTTCTGGATTCGTGGATATGGAAGGTTTTGGCTCTGGATTCGCGGATATGGAAGGTTTTGGTTCTTGTTTTGCAGATATGGAAGGTTTTGATTCTTGTTTGCGAATATGGAAGGTTTGGTTCATGATTCTCGGATATGTAAGGTTTTGGTTCATGATTCTCGGATATGGAAGGTTTTGGTTCATTATTCGCGGATATGGAAGGTTTTGGTTCATGATTCTCGGATATGGAAGATTTTGGTTCATGATTCTCGGATATGGAAGATTTTGGTTCATGATTCTCGGATATGGAAGGTTTTGGTTCATGATTCTCGGATATGTAAGGTTTTGGTTCATGATTCTCGGATATGGAAGGTTTTGGTTCATGATTCGCGGATATGGAAGGTTTTGGTTCATGATTCTCGGATATGGAAGGTTTTGGTTCATGATTCTCGGATATGGAAGGTTTTGGTTCATGATTCTCGGATATGGAAGATTTTGGTTCATGATTCTCAGATATGGAAGGTTTTGGTTCATGATTCTCGGATATGGAAGGTTTTGGTTCATGATTCGCGGATATGGAAGGTTTTGTTTCATGCTTCTCGGATATGGAAGATTTTGGTTCATGATTCTCGGATATGGAAGATTTTGGTTCATGATTCTCGGATATGGAAGATTTTGGTTCATGATTCTCGGATATGGAAGGTTTTGGTTCATGATTCTCGGATATGGAAGGTTTGGTGTTTTAGTTATTTCAGACGGATCTTTTATAAAGGTTTTCGTTGCACTCCCAGCTGTAAGAGACCGCATTGTGCATTACCTATTTTCAGAATGTTTCGGATGTGAACTCTTCTCTGGTCTTAGGTCTTGTGGGTGTTTTGATCTACTCAACTTTGGAACTTTATTCATTAACTCACATTGAATCAAATGAGTGGTGTGTGTGTGTGTGTGTGTGTGTGTGTGTGTGTGTGTGTGTGTGTGTGTGTGTGTGTGTGTAATACTGTAGTATTGACTCGGGAACGAGCTAATGTTTAACGCAAAAGATGAATTGTAAATTATATCAAATAATTAGTTGCGTGTAAAGGCTTCGACTTCGATCACAAACAACAATTCCCGTCAGTACAGTAAAAAAAAAAATATGTAGTTTTCCTGCTCAGAGAATCTGCCGTATTATATAGCTTATTCCCACACCTGTGACACACCCACTTCCTCCTGTAGCAGTCCTCAACCTGGCGTGTAATTTTACTCTTGTCTCTCGTGGTGTTTGTGCCAATTGAAGGTCAAACGAATCCCAACCTGATCTGACCTACTCTAACCTAACTTGACCAAACCTGACCTAACATACTCAAACCTATCTTGACCTGACTTGACATACTCAAACCTAACTTGATCTGACCTGACGTGACTTGTCCTACGCCAACCTGGTGATGACGTCATATCAGTTGATGACGTCACAGCAGTTGATGACGTCACAGCGGTTGCTTCGATAACCATTGGTTCACTAACCAACGACTTTTCACTGTCTCCGTAGGCCTATTCATGGGTTATCGAGGTATATCTGTAGTGTAAATTGTCTTAACAAGGTCTTTTGTTTTTCCACCGGCAATTGGTCTCTGCCTCGAGCAGCTTTTAACTCTATAAAGTATATTTTGTCGGAGGTGTTTTACCTGATAAAGACTTAATAACAGGTGTGGGTGTGGTGGGTTAAAGGTGATGTATACAGTAGTGAACACTTTATAGTAGTGCGTCCAGGTTTACTTGTGTGCAACAACAAGTGCCTCATTGTGCAACACCCCGGGGCGTTTGTATCCAGTCTGGCTCAACTGATCCCAAGTTTCCTCGTGTAAACACTTACCTTCACCAACAGTTCTTACCAAACTCTGGCGGGTAAATTTTCTCCAAGTTTCCCTTACTTGCCTCGCCGTCAGTGAAGCATTAACTCCTAACACGAACCTGGGGTAAACTAGATGCAGGTCGTTGGTGAGGTAAAGGACGTGTTGACCATTAGTCGAGAAGATACGAGAACGGAAAATATACAAAGAGGATTAATAGCCACACTCATCGTCGTAAGTTAGGCAGTGTTAGCCACACAACCCGTCGAGCACCTCTTCTGGCCCTCCAAGAGACACAAGTGGCTGTAAACACAACTTTCCACAAGTGTTAAGACGTGTTTGACTCGCTCCAAGTTTTGGTGCTTTAACACTGGTGGACCAAGTAGGTAGTTGTAAGGAGGAGAAATTTGTTGGTGGTCGCCCGGGTGTTTCCCTTCAGGTAACAAGCAGATGTTCAGGTAGTATACACACCACTTATTTTTGCCTAAACTGCTCCATTAAGCTCCATAATATTTTTGTTTACAATCCTTAACTTTTGTATAACCTGTGACCCCGTACAGTAAAACATTGATTCATAAGGGCACAACATATTGGGTCAGAACATTGTGTTACGGGTAATCATCCACTAATGCCTTCAAGCTCAATTGGCGTTTTTGACAAATATAAATAAAGTTTCCACTTTATTGTTTAATGGAAATTTATTCATGTATGGTGAAAATTTACTTTGTTATATTAAAGATGTCGTTTACTACCATGGTATAATGAACACACACACACACACACACATCGTCGTAGGTGCAGAAGAAACTAAGTTAAACCATCTTAAGAAACTTCCCCCCCTCCCTCTCCCAAACTGATACGCGAAACTAAACGTTGAAACTGAGGGGAGAGGTTGAACCAAGTTATTAAATCATGCTATAAAAACAACCGTTATTTCAGCCCCAGCTATAAAACTAAGCTGCTGAAACAAGCTTTGTAATCCTAGACCTGAAAAACTTTTGCGTATAATGGCGAGGACAAAAGTCTAATTAGTATGGGACTAAATTATGTATGTATGTATGTATGTATGTATGTATGTATGTATGTAATGTATGTAATGTATGATAGGGAAATCAGCATACATGGCTGAGAGTGCAGGTTGTTGGCATTCGTAACTGAGAGAGAGAGAGAGAGAGAGAGAGAGAGAGAGAGAGAGAGAGAGCCATAATAGGTGTTGTTCATCATCACCAACGCAGCTCACCTCGACTTTCTATATTAAGCAAATCCTCCTGAAATAGAACGCCAGCTTAGCTTATTTTGCCCGTGCTGTTGCTGCTGTAAGCCTCTCTCTCTCTCTCACTCACTCTCATTGACTCGGGATACATTTAGCCTAGTTGCCGTCACAATAGCTCAATTATTACCTTTTGTGCTTTCATTATATTCGTGTGTCTCTGGATGTTTGTAGTTTAACCTGTGTGTGTGTGTGTGTGTGTGTGTGTGTGTGTGTGTGTGTGTGTGTGTGTGTGTGTGTGTGTGTGTGTGTGTGTGTGTGTGTGTGTGTGTGTGTGTGTGTGTGTGTGTGTGTGTGTGTGTGTGTGTGTGTGTGTGTGTGTGTGTGTGTGTGTGTGTGTGTGTGTGTGTGTGTGTGTGTGTGTGTGTGTGTGTGTGTGTCCTCTTGACTGTGATGGGATTGAAGGGAGATGTTAGGCAGTGCCCCCTGACAGTGCCCCCCCTGACAGTGCCCCCCCCTGACAGTGCCCCCCCCTGACAGTGCCTCTGACAGTGCCCCCTGACAGTGTGCCCCTGACAGTGCCCCTGACAGTGCCCTGACAGTGCCCCCCCACTCTGACAGTGCTCCCTCTCAAAGTCTCCCTCACAGTGCCCTCCCTCACAGTGCCCTGCCCAGTGCACCATGCAACACCTTCCAGACAACACAAGGCTACACCTACTTGATAAGCCACACACATACACAGGTAGAGAGAACACACACACACACACACACATACACACACACACACACCTCTCCCTGCTATGGTCTGGATGTATGTGAGTCAATCAGGTTTTTACGAAAGGTCAAATAGGGGGATGTGGATATACAACTGGTACTAGAACACACCGATATCAATTACATACTGATTCCCCTACATCTTCTCCTCATCTCCTCCCCTTCTACTCCACCCTCCCTTCCCCACCCCTCCTCATCTCTCTCACCTTAATGGGGATTCGTACCCAGGATAGGTAGAATGGCTGCTATTAAAGTAACCATTGCGCCACCGTACTCAAACCCTCACATCGACAACATACATCAGTCAGTTCAGAAGTAGACGTTATCATTAAGTATAGATGGAGTGAGGTGTTATAGTCACGTGATAGTGTTAAGTGTCTCTCATAGTGAAGTTGTTAATTTTATGATATATGTATGAGGGATTAAACTGCTTAGCTGTATGTTAATGGGGAGGGAGGGAGGAAGAGGAAGGAGGGAGAAAGGAAAGGGAGGGATAAGAGGGAGAGAGAGGGAGGTGTTTGAACATTTTCTGTCTCTCCCCTCATGATTGGTCTTCAGGACTCGGCATTAGTCGAAGGTATCCAACTGCCGTGAACGAGTATTAGGGTGTGGGTGGTATGTGAATGTATGTGTGGATGGATAGTACACGTTCATGTATGTTCACGTGCGTGTGGGTAGCGGAGTACGTGTGTGTGTGTGTGTGTGTGGGTGGGTGGCAGAGTACGTGTGTGTGTGGGTGGCAGAGTACGTGTGTATACGTGTGGGTGGCGGTGCATCGTGGGAGTGGGTGGCGGTGCACACGCGACCTCGGGCGGAGGGAGGGTTGGGCAGAGTTAAAGCTGAGTGTAGGTCATGGTGTTGCCAGAGCTGTGTGTAGGTCACCCCTCCACCCTTCCACCCTAACACCCTTCCCACCCTGCACCCCTCCACTCTTGCGTCCTTCTACTCTACCACCCCTTTCGTCCCTCCACTCTATACCACCTCCCCCTCCACTCTCTTATAACCCTCCACTCTATAACCACCCTCCCCCTCCACTCTATACCACCTCCTCCACTTATACCACCTCCATTCCTCCACTGTACCACCTCTTCCGCCTCCTATTATCATCATCCCTTCTCCCCCCTAACCTAAATACTCCTCTTGGACATTCCCAATACCTCCCCTCCCCCTAACTGTACCGTATCCTCCCTCACTTCACAATGTGTCTCTCCTCTACTCACTAACCCCCTTTCGTTACCATATCTCCCCTCACTTTATTAATTCTCTCCCATTAATCTCTTCTTTTCCATCCACCATATCTCCCCATCCACCCCCACCTCCCTATCCACCCCGTCTTCCTCTCTCCCCAGTCTCCCCATCCACCTAGTTACCCTATCCACACAGGTTGGGGTGAGGGTAATGCACTTCACCCCAACATTCACTCATTTTCCTTCACCGTGTCTCAGAAATGTGTCCTCCTAGGGTGTATGTGTCCTCCTAGGGTGTATGTGTCCTCCTAGGGTGTATGTATCCTCTTATGGTGTATGTATCCTCCTATGGTGTATGTATCCTCCTATGGTGTATGTATCCTCAAGGTGTATTTATTTATCCTCCTTAGGTGTATGTATCCTCCTATAGTGTATGTATCCTCCTATGGTGTATGTATCCTCCTATGGTGTATGTATCTCCTCCTTGGGTATGTATCCTCTGCTGGGTATGTATCCTCCTTAGGTGTATGTATCCTCCTTGGTGTATGTATCCTCAAGGTGTATTTTTCCTCCCAGGGTGTCTCTGGTGTAATCTGTCGACCTACAGTGTGTGGATCGGTGGAGAGAGAGAGAGAGAGAGAGAGAGAGAGAGAGAGAGAGAGAGAGAGAGAATATATATATATATATATATATATATATATTTCCCCACACACACACACACAAAAGAAAAAACAAAACTTCATACCGCTATTGAAGCTATTTACTACTATACGAAGAACAGCGTCACCCCATTTAACCACAGGTAGACAAATAGCCGCGCCTCTTGCCCAAACACGCTGCTGCACATTGTCACATTCAACCGATTTATTAACCACGTTTATTGTATTCATAAATTTGGAAATAGTTTCACTTCATTTGATCGTAGTTAGTTTATTCTGTCGGTGTAAAATTGAACGAGTAACAGCCCCACGTTATATTGTAAATCACCAATCACAGATACTCACGGTTTACAGGTGTGAAGAGACGTGATATTTTGTCCACCTGCGTAATTCATGTTAATACCATCTCTATAAACCATGAATTAACGGTCACAGAAGTCAAGTTTTTTTCTACGCTACCGTTTGACTTGATCTCGTGTGAATCCGTTCTGTGCGCCCTGGGATCGAACGAGTGTCGTAGGAGCAGCACAGAGGCGCACGAACCACTACACCACCAAGGCCTCGGTAAAGATTTCAATATACAGTATCGTAAGAGATGATGATATTTTTGTACAGGCTTGAGTGTTGTGTTCTGTTGTCGTCACAGTCGGTAGTGGTAATCTGCCAACATAGTGACATCGTACTTTGAACTAACATTAATATCCACCCACACTCACCCACCCACTCACTACACCCACTCACCTCCAGCCACACCCACTCACTTACACCCACTCATCTCTACCCACACTCCTTCTCCTACCTACCGATCTTCACCCAGCCACCGTTGCCTCCTCCCTCCCTATTTACTTATCCATATCGATCCTTCTTCTATATGCATCCCTCCCTCCAGCTAGTCCAAACACCCTCTAGTGACTGCTTACCTCCCCACCCTCACACCCCCATCCCACCCGCGCTCGTCTCCACCCCACCCCGCCCCCACCCCTCCCCCCCCAGGGATGAAAAATATAACAGAAAAGGAAAAAAAAAGGGAGAAATAACTTTTGTGAAGTCACTAGGCATTAAATGAGCTGCGAAGTTTGACCCGGGGTTGGTAGGATGGGGGAGGGGACGGCTAGAGGGGAGGGAGGGAGGAAAGGGGTAGAAGCTACTAGGGAGAGGGGGGGGATCAGCTAGCGGAAAGGGGTAGAAGCTGCAAGGGAGAGGAGGGGGCAGCTAGGGGGGGAGGGAGGGAGGAAAAGGGTTAGAGGCTGCAAGGAAGAGGTTGTAGCAAAAGGGGAGGGGGGTGTCGCGAGGAAGAGGAGGAAGAGATGTGGGAGGTGGAAAGGTAGATGTGAGGGGGAGGAAGGCAGGGGAAAAGATGAAGAGGTAGTGAGTGGCTGTGAAGAAGGGGGTGGGATGGCAGGGGATAAAGAAGGGGGAGAGGAGGAAGGGATCGAGTGAGTGAGAGCGAGAGAACATAAGAGAAATAAAAGAGAGAGTCGCATCTAGGTTATGTACAGGAGTTCAGGTGAAGCACTTATTCGAGTCATTTACTTTTAAGTCCCACTTGAAGGGCGAGTATGAGGGGAAATGCCGCCCGGGTGATAGTAGATAAGGGAGAGAAGATAGGGACTGCCACGAAGCGAAGGAGAGGAGGAAAGGATAGGAATAGGAAATGAAATAGAAGAGGAGGAGGAGGAGATAGGGAAAAGAAGAATAGGAGAGGAGAGGAGATGGGATAGAGGGAGAAGTATAGGGTGGGTGATGGTGGTGGGAGAGTGGGTGATGCTGGTGGGTGATGCTAGTGGGAGAGTGGGTGATGCTAGTGGGAGAGTGGGTGATGTTGGTGGGTGATGGGTGACGGTAGTGGGTGATGGTTGAGTGGGTGATGGGTGACGGTAGTGGGTGATGGTGGGTTGAGTGGAGGATGGTGGTGGGTGAGTGGATGGTTGATGCCTACATTCATTCCGTCTTTGTGTACGTCCGTGTGTATGTTCGCGTGTTCGTCCGTATTTATGTCCGTGTGTACGTCTGTCTACGTTCATGTGTATGTCCATGAACAAGACATCTCGGAGATAAATCAATGGATTGCCTTGTACTGTAGCAGTACTCTGCACCTTTTAGAAATAATGGAAAAGTCTCTCATTTTGGGGGCGAGAATTATCCTCGCTGACGGTCAGTCCGATGAAAAAGGCCAAAAATGGTCCTTTTCGGGTAATTTCAAGTGTTGGACAGTCGTTACGTGATGGCTAATTGCTCGTTTATTTTTCTACTGACACCACCTTTGTTGAACTTCACCAGCGTTGTACACCAGTGTTGTTCATCATCAGCGATCACCTATGTTGAACACCAGCTGTATTGAACATCACCTCTGTTGAATATATTCACCTATGTTGAACATGTCTTGCAAGCAGAATACAGAGCACCGACTGCTAAACGTCAGCTGGACGGGGTAGGGTATGGGTATCACCAGGTCAGGGGTCAGCATATACCCCTAAGTGTCGGCGGCTGACTATAAGTCCCATGATAAACAAGAGAGCATCAGGTAGCGCCACCATCCAATCCTCCTTCCTCGTGTTCACCTTCTTACCTTGAGCCTTGTTTAATTAGTTCATCAACCACACACACCTGAGCTTATACATACTACCAGGTATACACACACGTTACTGTATAATCCCACCATGAATTAAGTGTTTCAAATTAGTTTGATACTGTTTGGATGTGTGTGTTAACTTTGTTACAGGAAGACACACTTGATAGGTGATTATAGTAACATCAGGGAACACGACCTACACCATAAGAGTCATAGGATGTGGAGAGAGAGAGAGAGAGAGAGAGAGAGAGAGAGAGAGAGAGAGAGAGAGAGAGAGGATGCTGTTCTTCACGATGGTAGAGCTGTCACCTTCTACCTCAGTTTAATTCTTTTAAATCCAATATGGCCGCCGTTCTGTAAGCTGTTTGGCCAATTTCATCACACGGTGTTTTGACCCGCTGATGAAGCAAGTTTGAGAGGTTTTGACGCACAATGAATCCAGTTATACAGGATTAATTCGGACTGGTTAATTGCTTCATTTACATAATCCAATGTGGCCGCCATCCTTACCTTTCCTCCCCCCCGCCCTATTTGTTATGGTTCCTTACCGTTGTCGGTAGAGAAGACTGTTAGAGAAATATCAACATCTTACACGAGGGGGCTACAGGTAAGGTCATTCTTCAGCTGTAGTGATGATTATTGGACAACTCGTTTCTCTTTCATATGTAAATGTAAATAATTTGACAAAAAGATAATGGTCTTAAGGTACTCGAGTAATAAGGACCTTAACACCACCAGGTATGAGAGAGCAAGGGTCAGGTGTGTCTTATGTTGACTACAATGTGGACCTAACCTTATTGGTGCGTGCGTGTGCGTGCGTGTGCGTGCGTGCGTGTGTGTGTGTGTGTGCGTGTGTGTGTGTGCGTGTGTGCGCGTATATGCGTGTGTGTGTGTGTGTGTGTGTGTGTGTGTGTCACCAGGAGGCTGCTCAGGTATCACAAAACAAAGACCAAGTTACACCTGAACGCACCCTCTCGTATACCGGTAAAGTTGCACCTGACTTTACCCTCGCGGCGACAATTCTCCCACTTGACATCAAACACGTTGACAAATAACCCGGACGGCCACAAGTTTACCAAGTTCCTCCTCTGCGTTTACCTCAAGAGTGACGGAGAGTTAGTGTGTCGAGGAACCAGGTGTGACTTGAGACAGCTATTGTATGCGTTTAGGTGATAGTTATAAAACTTTGCCCCTAAGATCATAATTAAGGAAGATGTATAAATTTCCTAAAACAAATTGCTCCGAGTTATGTTCGTTAAGCTACATTGGAAAACAAAAGCCAAGGTAGTGTTTTTTTCAATAGCTTTTTTGTCAGGTGGTCAGTGACATTTCCTCACCCCCAGAGTGATCATGACGTAAGCTATAGAACAATTCGTGTTTGTTTACAGGTCCCAGCGGCGTGTTGGTGCAAAGAGTACAGTTAGCTAGTATGCTCTTACTTCCCCTCACTTACTTCTGGTTCATCCTGTCGCTCCTAATCCTCGTAGTCACTCCCTCTTCACCTAGTCAGACCGTCCAATATGTCACCTGCTGCACATTCACTCAGAAATTAATGCAGCAGCAGCAGTCAGTCTGTGTGTGGAGTTGTGTGTTGTGAATGTAGTCATCAGCCATCATGAAACACACACACACACACATGACCGTGTTGACAGGACCGATGACAAGATCGCCGCCCAGCACCTCAACAGGTTAATCATCACCTGAGTTGAGAGGGACGACGAGTGACCACCGTGATAGGCTGGCACTCACGGGACCTCTGGGGGTAATGAACACTCACCGTCACTCACCCCAACGGCTTGTGGGGACACCTGTATGTTATGCTGGTGGTTAACATCACTCCAGGGGTCGGTGACTACGAGTACCTTTGTTGTTTCATACATGACTGCTTGTACTGTTCCTGCTGTTTCATACATGACTGCTTGTACTGTTCCTGTTGTTTCATACATGACTGCGTGTACTGTTCCTGCTGTTTCATACATGACTGCGTGTACTGTTCCTGCTGTTTCATACATGACTGCGTGTACTGTTCCTCCTGTTTCATACATGACTGCGTGTACTGTTCCTCCTGTTTCATACATGACTGCGTGTACTGTTCCTGCTGTTTCATACATGACTGCGTGTACTGTTCCTGCTGTTTCATACATGACTGCGTGTACTGTTTCCTGCTGTTTTCCTCCATGACTGCTTGTACTGTTCCTGCTGTTTCTTTGTGACTGCGTGTACTGTTCCTCTGTTTCGCCACATGACTGCGTGTACTGTTCCTGCTGTTTTCATACATGACTGCGTGTACTGTTCCTGCTGTTTCGCACATGACTGCGTGTACTGTTCCTGCTGTTTCGCACATGACTGCGTACCTTTTTGTTCCTGCTGTTTCATACATGACTGCTTGTACTGTTCCTGCTGTTTCATACATGACTGCTTGTACTGTTCCTGCTGTTTCATACATGACTGCGTGTACTGTTCCTGCTGTTTCATACATGGCTGCGTGTACTGTTCCTGCTGTTTCATATATGGTATTTTATTCTGCCCTGTTGTTCAGTCTCTCCCTCTAGCTACCTTTCACCTCGCAGGTAAATATTGATTACATGTCGGGATAAGGGATTTTTTGCGAAAACAAGAGGCAGATAATATAAGATAACGGGAGGAAGGAAGGAATTATTGGAAGACGTGAAATGAACAGATAATTGCAAGAACAGTAGTGTATCAGTTTTACGTGTTTAGTCGGGTTCGGATTCGTGTTTGGACTTGGGGGGTTCTGTTCTGGTTCGGGTTTTGTTTTTTCGGAATCGGGTTCGTATTCGGTTTTGGGTCGGGTTTGGGATTTGATTTGAACGATTAGATTAGTCTCTCTCTCTCTCTCTCTCTCTCTCTCTCTCTCTCTCTCTCTCTCTCTCTCTCTCTCTCGCAACTGCTGGACAAACATCACTCGTGAAACCTTCACCTTGATAAAAAGCGTGTTGAGGGGGACGAGAATATTGATTGGCCAGTGAGGGAGAGAAAACTAGTCGTGAAATAGGTAAGAGATTAGATGGATTGGGCACGAGGACCTCAAAGCTGTGATTGGACGACAGAGGGAGGGAACTGAGATTGTGATTGGAGGTAAGAACGAGGATTGTGATTGATGGTAAGAACGAGGATTGTGATTGGTGGTAAGAACGAGGATTGTGATTGATGGTAAGAACGAGGATTGTGATTGGTGGTAAGAACGAGGATTGTGATTGATGGTAAGAACGAGGATTGTGATTGGTGGTAAGAACGAGGATTGTGATTGGTGGTAAGAACAGGGTTTGTGATTGGTGGTAGAACGAGTTGTGATTGGTGGTAGAGCGAGGATTTTGATTGGAGGTAGAACGAGGACATGATTGGAGTAGAACGAGGATTGTGTTGATTGGTGGTAAGAACGAGTTGTGATTGGTGGTAGAACGGATTGTGATTGGTGGTAAGAACGAGGATTGTGATTGGTGGTAAGAACGAGGATTGTGATTGGTGGTAAGAACGAGGATTGTGATTGATAGTAAGAACGAGGATTGTGATTGGTGGTAAGAACGAGGATTGTGATTGGAGGTAAGAACGAGGATTGTGATTTGAGAGAACTGTAATTGGAGGATTGAAAAGGATAGGAGAATAGGTCGGAAGGTCGAGTTCGTTTATGAGAGAGGTACACCTTTGTCTCGTAATGAGTGTGAGGGAGAGTTTGTTTCCTTAGTGAGAGAGAGAGGGAGGGAGAGTTTGTTTTAGGTGGAGAGAGTGAGAGAGGGAGAGTTTGTTTCTTAGTGAGAGAGAGGGAGGGAGAGTTTGTTTCTTAGTGAGAGATAGAGTTTGAGGGTGGGGAGAGTTTGTTTCAGTGAGAGAGAAGGAGGGAGAGTTTGTTTCTTAGTGAGAGAGAGAGAGAGAGAGAGAGAGGGGGGAGGAGGGAGCATCTGTTTCTCACTTAGGGAGGAGAATAGATTAATGCTTGTGTACACACCACACCACGAACACCCACCACAACACACACCCACCACCATCACGACACCCACACCATCCACCACAACACCCCACCACCATCACGACAACACCCACCACAACACCCACCACCATCACGACAACACCCACCACAACACCCACCACCATCACGACAACACCCACCACAACACCCACCACAACATCCACCACCATCATGACAACACCCACCACAACACCCACCACCATCACGACAATACCCACCACAACACCCACCACCATCACGACAACACCCACCACAACACCCACCACCATCACGACAACACCCACCACAACACCCACCACCATCACACAACACCCACCACAACACCCACAACCCCACCACAACACCCACCACCACACGACAACACCCACCACAACACCCACCACCATCACCGACAACACCCACCACCATCACCACAACACCCACCACAACACCCACCACCATCACCACCACACAACCCACCACAACACCCACCACCATCACGACAACACCCACCACACATCACCCACCACCACACCCACCACACCACAACACCCACCACACACCACAACACACCACAAATACCCACCACCACACCACAACACTCCACACCACACACCCACCACCACACCACCCACCACACACCCACCACCACACACACCCACCACAACACCCACCACCACAACACCACCACCACCACCACCACCACAACAACACCCACCATAACACTCAACACCAACCCTACACAACTATCACCCAACATGCACATGAGGAGACGAGTGTTAGCCACGGATACACCACACTCACCCGGGGAATCCGCTGACCTAAATGTAACCTCTCAATATGGATTTTTTTTTTTTTTTGGCGCTGCGAGCAAATTGCCTTCCAGTGAGTAATCTTGGCATTATTCCTGTTTGTTGGCGGACCAGGTATGATGTGATTCAGCGTGTGACTGTTTGAGTATTGAACGATGTTATGTGTGTGTGTGTGTGTGTGTGTGTGTGTGTGTGTGTGTGTGTGTGTGTGTTTTTTTTTAATATCGTTATTATTATTATTATTACTAACGTTAGTATTTGATATTGATATATCATTACCCTCGACTTATCACCAATCAATTCCTCGACTTTAGACACCCAGTCAGTGTAGTGGCTTAACACAGTACATTACTCACCTTGACGCCATCATAAACACCAGGAAAAATAGTATGTTTTTTTCATCCTCTTTTTTTTGTTAACCAAACGAGTGAACACTGACCTCCTTCCTTCCTGGATTCGGTAAAATGCTACTGACACCACATACGAGGCACGGGCAGTTCCCAATGAGATTCACGGCGCCATCAGCTCGGTGAACAGGCTTTGTGTGAAATATAACGGAGTCTAAGAATGCTTTTAGTGTCTTTGTGGGTTGGTCGGTAGCGTTCCCTAGTCCCACCCAGTAGGTCGAGGGTTCGATTCCTGGCTGGTGAGGTCGTTGATTATATGTTCAAAGTCCCCGTGTTATATGGACTAAAAATGAAGTCTGTATATATATATATTTATATATTCACTACGGTAGTTACATGACCCAGAATACGTGTTATTTTTGTCCTTGTGGTTGCTTTAGTTAGGTTGGTTTAATGTGATTTGTTGAAGATGGCTCGTGTAATTGTTTTTATTTTTCATTGTGTGGTTCTTCTTTCAGTCGTTATTCCTGGCTGGTTCTCCCTCTACTCTTCTCCCTGGCTGGTTCTCCTTCGATTGTTCTCCCTGGCTGGTTCTTCCTTCAATTGTTCTTCCTGGCTGGTTCTCCTTTAATTGTTCGCCATGGCTGGTTCTCCTTCAATTGTTCTTCCTGGCTGGTTCTCCTTCAATTGTTCTTCCTGGCTGGTTTTCCTTCAATTGTTCACCATGGCTGGTTCTCCTTCAATTGTTTTCCCTGGCTGGTTCTCCCTTGAATTGTTCACCCTGGCTGGTTCTCCTTCAATTGTTTTCTGGCTGGTTTCATTGTTCACCCTGGCTGGTTCTCCTTCAATTTTTCCCTGGCTGGTCCTTAATTGTTCACCCTGGCTGGTTCTCCTTCAATTGTTTTCCCTGGCTGGTTCTCCTTGAATTGTTCACCCTGGCTGGTTCTCCTTCAATTGTTTTCCTGGCTGGTTCTCCTTCAATTGTTCGCCATGGCTGGTTCTCCTCTACTTTTCTCCCTGGCTGGTTTGCCTCAATTGTTCATAGCTGGTTCTCCTTGTGTTCACCTGGCTGGTTCTCCCTTGAATTGTTCTCCCCTGTTGGTTCCCTTTAATTGTTCGCCATGGCTGGTTCTCCCTCTACTTTTCTCCCTGGCTGGTTCTCCTTCAATTGTTTCCCTGGCTGGTTCTCCTTGAATTGTTCACCCTGGCTGGCTCCCTTGGTTCTCCTGGGTTCTCCTTTAATTGTTCGCTGGCTGGTTCTCCCTCTACTTTTCTCCCTGGCTGGTTTGCCTTCAATTGTTCTGGCTGGTTCTCCTTAATTGTTCACCCTGGCTGGTTCTCCTTGAACCCTGGCTGGTTCTCCTTGAATTGTTCACCCTGGCTGGTTCTCCTTGAATTGTTCACCCTGGCTGGTTCTCCTTCAATTTTCTCCCTGGCTGGTTTTCCTTCACTTGTTCGTCCTGTCTGGCTCTCCCTCTACTTCTTCTCCCTGGCTGGTTCTCCTCCTCTTCTCCCTGGCTGGTTCTCCACTTCTTCTCCCTGGCTGGTTCTCCCTCCACTCTTGTCCTTGGCTGCCCTCCTCCCTTCCTATCCACACACGTTTCTCTCAGCAGTCCTCCCCTCCTTCTCACCGTGTCTCCCGTTCCTATTTCCATCCCTTCCCTAGCTTTCTCCTTCCTTCCACTCCTCCCTGCCCCCCCCACACACCTCCCGCCCTCCCCTTCCACACACACCTCCCCTCCCCCTTCCACACACCTCCCGCCCTCCCCCTTCCCACCTCCTCCCCGCCTCCCCTTCCACACACCTCCCCCCGCCCTCCCCTTCCACACCTCCCCAGGCCCTGCCACACTCTCTTGCAATAGTATCTCCGTAAGCTCCACTTTACCCTCACACAAAGCTGCTTTCTTTTCCATCCTCACATCACAGCTCGCTCTTCTTCTTCCTCTTCCTTCTCTCCCTCTTGCTATTCTTCCTTAATACGTTCCTCCTTCATCCATTTTGTTCTATTTTCCATTATCATGCTTTTCGTAATGTTTTCATGTGTTTATGCTTCTCTATTCGTAAGTTGTTGGTTTATTTATGTTTCGCTCTTCGTAATAATTTCCTGTGTTTTTCCCCCATTCCTCTATTCGTAATTTTTTTTTTATTTCTGCATTTCTGTATTTTAGAATGTTGGGTGTATTTCTTTTTCCCTCTCTTCTAATATCCTTCCAGTCAGTTCAGTCCGCAAATATCTCTGTGGCAAGTTTTACACGATGCTGGGGGGGAGGAGATGAAGAAAATTTATGTTAAATGGTATAACACAAATGAATGTTTAATTGAAAGGAAAATAGTTCGACACGTTTAAGGTGAGATAATGTAATTAGTGAAAGTAATTTTTAT